GAAAAAAGTGATATTTTGGAAAGATCACTGGGCTAACCTCTGAATTTTTTGTTTCACTCCAAGTTCTGTTAACTCCAACTACCTTTGGTATATACCAAAATTTTCTGTGAATCTTTGTAAATTTGCAGACATTCAGGCCAATCCCAGACTTACCCATTTGATTCAGAAACTAATTCTTTGGACCAACTCTTTTGTATTTGGGAAATAAAATAAAACAATATGTCCTTCATAAATTTTGATTCCTACCAAGATGGAAAACTGTAGAAATTGTTCTTTCCTTTGCAAGTAACTTAACAGTTTTATAACTTGAACTTCTTATGAAAAATAAGATGCCAATATGTGCCAATATGTACCTTGCCTTACTCTGAGTTATCATAAGAATTCAGAGAAGAGTTTATACTCACACATATACAAGCATATATATTTTGTATGTTATATATCTTCTCTATGTGGTTTGAAATCTGAAAGACGCTATTCCAATATAGTTAAGCATTAATAGTGTGAAAGAATACTCCTTGAAGAACATATTCTCAGTTTTGTCTAACTCATGTTTGTGTCTATTATACCTGGCCCTTTATTATCTTAAATTCAATATGCTTTACAAACGATCTATTTAGACAACCTATTACCTATACCTCTCCACCCCTTGTCTATCATTTTGTCATAGGCAAAGTGGCTTGTGTGTTGCAGTGAGGTTTGAGGCTATTCTACCAGTATTTCAAATACCAGCAGGGTCACCCCCAGTGGACAGGTTTAAGCAGAGCTTCCAGACTAGGACAGACTAGGAAGAAGGATAAGGCATTCACATCTGCTATTGGCCATTTTGAATCAGACAATCATGTGGTCTACTAAACTGGGAATGACAAGTTGAAGAGGAATGACATCACAAAAGAACATTTCATGGTCTATCCTGAAGTACAATGCTATCAGTGATAGGATGATAAAATATGCCTACAAGGAAGACCACTTAATAGAATTATTATTTCAAATTTATGCACCAAGCACCAAAGCAAAAAATGAAGAGACTGAAGATTTTTACCAAATTCTGTAGTCTGAAATGGACTAAATATGCAATCAAGATGTACTGATTATTGCTGGTGATTGGAATGCGAAAATTAGAAACAATGAAGGATCATCAGCCTTAGTGATATAAAAGACTGTAGGTCACATGATAGAATTTTGCAAGACCAATGCCTTACTCATTGCAAATCTTTTTTTTTTTTTTTTTT